TCTGTCTCAGATGTTGTGGATTCACGACACTGACAGTGGAAGGGCACAGTCCTAGTAGAGATGACTTCAGTGTCAGGCCACTCCAGGAGACAAACAGAAGTAGGTAAGGAGCACAGGTTTTGCTCACCTTCCTGCTTATGTATCCTCTCATGGGAGGATGCTGCAAACTGGCATCAGTGTATCTATGTCATGTAGCCCAGGACAGAGTGCCAAGACAAGAGACCTGAGTTCTCCTTTTGACTGTATCCTGTGGAGGTAGTGGAGATGCTTGGTGCTATTAGTGTGTTCAAGGAAAAGAACAGGCAGCCTCTCCTGAGCAGATGGTGAATGAGGGTCAGGCTGAGTCTAAACAGGGGCAGAGCACTCCTCCAGGAGCTCAGCACAATGATGTGACCTTCCCTGACGAGACTGACAGTGGTGCAAAAAGTCTTTCATCATGCTTCAACCTCATCTCTTGAAAAAGCCTTAGGTAGCTCTAGGAAAGCAGCTAGAATAATAAGAACCCTGAAGAAGATTTTCCAAAGCAAAAGAGAAGGTGCTTGCATGCACTGCAGGAGCTGAGACATTGCCCCATTTCTGCAGGATGCTTGCCTCTTCCTTTTACACCTCCTGCAGGACTAGATGCACTCCAGATCAAAGCATATCCCGGTAGAGAACAGCTAGGCTAACACAGCTAACAAAACAGGAATTACAGATAAGTGTTAAATGCTAACCCCCATGTTTAGCAATAAAAAAGACAACCTGAAATCCAAGCAGCCCTGAGGCTTACACAACAGGGGATTGGCAAGCCGTGCTTCTGCCAGCACAAGGTTTCCTACTCTGTCAAACATGAAAAGCAACACATAAACACACAGCTAGCTACTCTAATAGTAGGATGTCTTAACAAATCAACTGCCCACCTGCAATGCATGTATACTTGCCCTATTTCTTTTTAAGCATTACAATAACCAGAGCAGAAATGTGACAATAATTATGCAACCATTATATAAAAAAAAAATCTATAAAGAAATAAAACTGTATTTTAATAGTTCCTTTAGACACTTTCAAAAAAGCAAAGAACTCTCTGCTGAGGGCCTTCTATCACTGCAAACTGGGGCTCATTTGCTCTCCCAGTCCTTTAAAAGACTGGAGGAGGCCATTATCTCTCATTTTGAGATAAGCTAGCAAACAAGAAGGGTGCTAGGGGAAAAAAGGAAGTGTTGTATAGCTTTCCAAACCCATTTTTTATTTCTACTTCCAAAGGTTTAATTCCCTACTAGTGTTTGGTGGGTATATAGTGGTACTTCACTGTTCTTACGTGTTTGTCATGATTCATCTATGAGTACAACTGATGAGCTGTGTTTCAAGTGGCTTTAGTACCATACCTGTATAAACCTGTACTAGTGTCAGCAGGTCAGGATTAACAGGTAACGTTTGCACTTGCCTGGAATGTTTGACTTGACATGGGAATTTTGGAGGACAGAGAGTGCATCCAGGGCTGTTTTGCTTCTAATTTGTGCCTTAACCTCTCAGCAGTGGGTATTCACTCTTGTACATACAGCAGATGTAATTTTTGGAAGTAAAAGCAGCCTTACCTAATACATCAGTGTAGTATTGATCCCAGCTTCCCCAGAGAAGGAAATGATACACAAAATCCTGAGCAGTGTAGGAGAAGATGTTCTTTAGCCTTTCCAGGAAGGACATCCTATCTGCTAGGCCGCTTAGGGTGGCTGGTACGTAGGAAGGAGGTGCTGGGAGCGTCCCACAAAGCCGCTCCACTGTGTTGCCCATGGAGAAACGGATGGTATACATGAAGGGGATACCCAGCTTCTCAGCAATCAGCTCCCCGCTGGGTAGCAGTGGGTCTGCCAAGAGGACATCAAAGTTGGATGCCCTCAGTCTCTGCATCAGTGCCTTATTCTTCAGGACTCTGTCACAAATGGTTTTGGTTAAGTTCTCCATCTTGTACAGTATTTGAGCCATCTTGTAAACACTTTCCCAGACGGGTAGCTGTCTCTCCTCATAAAACCAAAAATAGAAACCTTCTTCCAGCATGGCAGCCATCTCCTTTTTGGTGATTGGTGCCTCAATCACCTCAAACTGGAAGGGCGAGGCCTGTGTGGCGTTGAGGATGAGGAAGCATGAAGGCAGCAGCACAGTCACCTCGTGGCCTCGGACCACAAGCTCATCGAGTATGTACTCCATGTTCAGCCAGTGGCTGTTGTCAGCCGGCCAGACCAACACCTTCCCTCCAGACACATAGCCCAACACAGCCAGCAGCCACAGCACGGCCACCTCCTTCCCAGCCATAGCCTGCCCTGCCCGGCAGTGCCCCACAGGGAGCAGCAGTGCTCCCACGCTGGGCTGGGCGTGCTCCGGAGGGCAGGCAGCCAAGGTCGCCGGTGTGAAGTCCTGCGTGGATGATGGCGTGGTTTCCTGGGTTAAACTGTGACAGGGGCCAGCTGGCGCCATCTGATGGTAAATGGCTTCTCTGGAGCCGTACGAGCTTCCGCTGGAGCGAAAGGCAGACCTGTCAGCCCTGAGGAGCAAACTCCAGTGTGGACTGTTCTAGCCCTCCTGCCTGTCTAACGACAGGCTCTATGTTATTTGCTTGGTAGAAGAGGTGACTTTTTCATTCTTCTGGCTCTTTGAAGCACAGCTGGGATGCACCAAAGACGTTCACCCACTGTGTGGGCACCCTGCTGCTTTATAAAGCCAATGAGCATCCATTCATAGTGCCCTCAAGGTAGCAATGCAGGGCTGCAGCTAAAAACTTGCATCTTGAAGTGGATAAAACTACACAGCAAGTGACTCCAATACCAGAGTAAGACTGTCCTCATGTGAACTTGTCTCTTCCAACGCATGCATCACAAGGAGAAAAAGCTGGTGGGCTGTCCCCCTGCCACTTAGTGCCAGCTATACACTGTGAGTTGAATCAGAAAATCTGTTAAACAGTTTTATTTGTGATCACCCTTCTGATGTGCAATTAAGAAATCCTGTAAGTCCTCTTCACTGTGCTAAAAATTATCACCACTGGGCTTCTCTGCAGCTCTGTTACACAATGGTTTCCTGTAGTTGTTGTGCAAGGCTTCTGCTGCAGCTTCCATAAAGCAGCCTAAAGCATCTTTTCCTGGATGAAAATGAGGGTGGTGGAAGCAGCTGAGCTGTGAGCAGCCAAGCTGAGACACCGTGTCTGTTGTGCATATAACAACAGTTTTGTGTAATTGAGGTGTACAGTCCTGAAGTATACAGGTATTTGCAGACAATTGAACCCTGAGAGGTTTACAGTCAGGACCTTAATGAGAGGTCACTAAAAATGGCATGTTGATCACATGTGATTAATACCTAAGTAAACATCTTTTTCTACATATTCACTTGAAACAGCCCAGAAGAAAAGCCTGCAGAGAAAGACTTGCTGCTTTCACTGTTTGCTTGTGGGTAGAGGCTATGTTTTAACAAAACTTGTTTTGTGCAAAGAGGATTGGTTTTATGTGACCAGTGATGTAAGTGAAGTCTCTATTCAAAAGCCACAATAGGTTTCAGCATTGTTACTGGTGGTGATGGGGTTGTCTTGTAGTTTACCAGCTCCCCTCTCCTTGTTATGATATTCTGGATTAGGAAAACAGCTCTGTACGTGCATGTGTAGGCAGCTGTTGGAGGGGGGGAATGTGTAAGCTGCGCAACCTTGCTGAGGGCCCTAAATGCTGCGGAAGATGCTTCAATCTCCACATTAAAATCTTTATGGCAAAAGTAAAATCCATCAACGGGTATTACCACCGATTGCTATCTCAATGCATGGCATAGCATAGAACAGCACCCTGACAGGGGAGCGTGTGAAACTGATGGAGGCTCCTTCTCTTTTCCACATAGGCACATAAAGACAAACAACTTGCTGACCTCTCCCAGACTTCACAGCCCTGCCAGGTTTGTAGCTCTGCAGCTCTTAAGGAGCAGGCTGTGATGTAATGAGCAGTAAGTAACAGGAGACTTACCTAAGATCTTGCTATAGTAGCTGTCCCAGTGTCCCCAGTAGCTCTGAAAAACGAAGTCTTGCCATTGGTAAGACAAGACGTTTTTTATCCTCTCACCAAAGGACATGGAGTCGGTGAGCTCGGACAGGGCTGCGGGTGCATAGGACAGTGGTGCTGGCATCTTGCCACAGTGCCTCTCCACGGTGAAGGCTGGGGAGAAACGCAGCGAGTACACAAAGGGGATGGACAGCTTGAGAGCCAGGAGGTCCCCGCAGAGGGTGACCGGGTCTGACAGCAGCAGGTCATAGCTGGATGCCTGCAGGCGGGCCATCAACTCGTGGTTGGTTAGCACTGCATCACACATCAGCCTGTTCATGTCATGCCAGTTCTTCACCTGCTTCCCCATCTCCCTGTAAAACTGCCAGAAGGTCAGGGTGGTTGGCCTGTTGTTCAGCCACAGTGCCACTAGCTCCTCGATCATGGTCTCGATGATGTCCGTCTTGAAGGGCACGTTATAGACCTCAAACTTCTCCATGGTGTCATCCCTGGATTTAATGAAGAGGGAAGCATTGGACACCAGGACAGTGACGCTGTGCCCACGGCGGATGAGCTCCTCTGTAACTGTCTTCATATTCAGCCAGTGGCTGCCTTCTGTTGGCCAGACCAGCACATTCCCACAGAAGACAGGCCCTAGAAGAGCAACCTGGAAAAGGAGCAGCTGGAGGGGTTTCTTAGAGCCGACGGCTTTTGTGGCCATGGCAAGGCAAAAAGGCCAGGTATCCTGGGAATGTTTCCCTTCCAGTTGGGAGTGCTGCACCTCTGTGCTGTGTTTGGTGGCTCTTCACTAGCAAAAGCAGGAGTTTGCTGTTTCACAGGTGAAGCCTTTAAAACCCACGTTTGGTCTCAGGTCTGAAAACACAGAAGAGGATGTTTGGTGATTCACTTCTCCCTTTCTGCCTTCTATCCTGGGAGAAAGGATAGAAACCTGCCAGTTTCTCTGGTTAGCAGGGTGACAGCAATCCTCACTGCTGTCAAAGGTCTGCCCTCAAGCTACTCCCTCTGCACATGATGAATTTAATCCTCTTTTTTATTCTACCTTTTGTAGTTTCTCTGAGGAATACTTGTCATGAAAGCAAACAACAGAGGATCTCTTCTTTGTAATTACTGTATCATTAAATGCTGGCAGATTTACTGTAAGTATTAGTGAGTAAGTGGCACTACTGACAACGCTGGAGAAATACTGAGATTTGCAGGAGAATGTGTGATCATGTGTTGTGGTTTAAACTCAACCACGCAGCCTCTCTCTCACTCCCCCCTTTTCTTCCCCGCCCCCACTCCCAGAGGGATGGGGAGGAGAATCAATGGAACGTAACTCCCAGGGGTTGAGATAAGAGCAGCCCAGTAACTAAGGTGTAACAAATCACTACTGCTACCACCAACAATAATAATGATAAAGGAAATAACAAGGGAAGAGAATACAACCGCTCACCACTTGCCGACTGATACCCAGCCTGATTCGAGCAGCAATCTAGCCCTTCTGGGTAACTGCCCCCAGTTTATATACTGGGCATGACGTGCTGTGGTCTGGAATACCTCTTTGGTCAGTTTGGGTCAGGTGTCCTGTCTCTGCCTCCTCCCGGCTTCCCCTCCTCCCTGGCAGAGCATGAGACTCACAAAGTCCTTGGTCAGACTAAACATTACTGAGCAACAACTAAAATCATCAGTGTTATCAGTGCTGTTCCCAGGCCAAAAGTCCAACCCATAGCACTGCACCAGCTACTCAGAATGACTGCTACTGCTGAACCCAGGACATCACGTTTGATTTGTAAATGCCTGTTTTCAATTGCAACAGCCCTGGTATCTGTATCCTATGATGTTTCTATCACTTAAGCCTGCCTGTACTTAAAGATACCTTTTTCTCATTCTGAGTTTCCAGTCTTTCTCCACCTTTCTTTCCAGAAGCAGCACAGGGGCTTACTTAGCTGACAGGCAGCAGTGCTACAGGGACTGCTTGCTTGAAGATACTGCTAGACCTGGGACAAGAGCCCTGGCCAGCACAAGGTGGAGGGACACCTGTGATGGCTAATTATATCATAGGCATCCTTAAATCTCCTCAACCCTTCTACAGCCATGTCTCTGCTGGTAAATAATGAGATTTCCTGGCAGTCATGCCCAGCCCCTACGGAAAGCTGCTGCATCTCTGGGCTTCACCATTAATTCAAGCTGGAGCATCTTTACAGGGCAAGATGAGCCAGACCTCTGGGTGCCAGCCCTCAAACAAATCACTTGCATTACACATCCATGGACCAGCGATGCCAGACGCAGGCCAAGGCAGGAGGGGCCACAGGGTATATGTAAAGGGCTGACTTGGAAGTGGCATCCTTGTTTAGGGTGAGATGTTAGAAGTGCTGATGTTTCCCATGCTGATAGAAGGCAGCAAATCCTTCATTCGGGTGATGATAATGCCAATAGTAACATGTGGTTTGTTCTGATATGTGGCAGATGGTTTCCAACCACTCTCAGAGAACTCAACACAAGGAGCTCATTGCTACTGTTTGGGGCATATCACCACCAATCTGGTCACAGTGTAGGCTCCGTTCAGGTGTCTAAACATGGGTCTGAGGCCCTCCTAGCCCCTAAAGGTGCTTCTCAGAGCAAAATCCACATCTTTTGGGGTGTCTCTCACTTGGAAAGTCAGTGCTTGAATGTAAGGCACTATGTCCTGGGAGGAGCTCTGAACCACCAGGAGGCAAAATGACAATTAAAACCCATGCATAGAATGATGCACTCGATCCAACATAATTTGGGGGATGAATGCCATGCAGCAAAAGGTCTTACCTAGTGGAGTCTTCCCAGGTACGTAAGCTCTGATTTGCAAAGGTGCAGTTTGCTTACACCAGTTTGTGTCTGTGTCTTGCTGCTCGCCCGCTCTGTGTCTGGGCTGCTCTGGCAAGGTTGGGTATGAGGCAGAAGGAGCTTAAATAAGTTACCCTCTTTTCAAAAAGGAGGAAGTAATACAATATGGGGTGATCACAACAAGGCATGTATTCTGGCATTATTTATTGCTTTGCTATGCTCCAGTAATTTAACAGTCGAGATGGTTTTCCTCATGCTGGGCTGTATTGTATTATGCTATATTATATGCTATATGTATTATTACGCTATGGCAGAGCCATATCCTCAGGACTTTGCATCCTGTAGCTCAGAAATATGACTGCTGAAAAGACTTTCCTCTCCCTTTAGGGTCCCAGCTGGCAAAATAATAGTAATAATAATAATAATAATAATAATAATAATAATAATAATAAATGGACTTGTTTATAAACTGTGTAGAGGAACAAAGAGAAAATCTTGTGGTTTGTTTGTAGAGCTTTTCTAGAGGTGGTGTGCTGCCTGTGCTGAGTGCGTGGCCCTCGGTTCTGGAGATACAAGTTTTTAATGACTTGGAAATAGAGAAATCTAAAATGCACTTCCATTGCATTTCATTCATTTCCATTGCATTCACCACGGGGTTTGAGTACTTTCCATAATATTCAACCTGACTTCTTCTAAGCCCTCAGGATTCAGGGCAATGATGCCAGCATGTTTGTCCTTACAGCCAGGAGTTTCAGTATGATCTCTCCATAGACCTCTGTATTCAGGATAATATCTTCTTTTTCAGGCTAATTTAGCTTATTTGGGAAAGTGTTATAAAAAACTTAAAGCTGTTGAAAGGCCATATTCACGTGGGCTGGGACAGACAGGACCCTGGGTTTCATTTCTAACCCCTCAATAACTAATTCCTCCGTAGCAAATGAGAACTGTTATGAGGTGCAGTCCCTCCTCTAGCCTCATAACCAAACTGCTAAATTTGTCTTGTTTCCGTGTCCACCTTTTAAAGATTACTGCTCAGATTGCTCTTAATGCAGAAAAGATAATCATTGTGAGAGGATTAAAGGACAAAATCCAACAGCAAATGAGAGAAAATTGGGGCTGAAGAAAGTAGATGGTGTTAGGTGTCTGTATTTCACACATCTAGCATTACTAAGCAGAAGTGCTGTAGGCACTGATGCAACCTCCAGCCTTGTTAAATAACAAAAGGCATTTTTTGAGGTGAAGGTGAGTTATGTAAAAGTTAGGCAATACAGACCAGTGTTTTCCACACTGGTCTCTTCACCATTACGGTGTGCAGGGCACCTTTATGTCTAGAAAACCCTGATGCCAGCCAGCACCTCAAAACCTCAGTGCCAGGGTGGAAAAGGAAAGCTTTTGCCCCTGAGAAGCACCACATTACGCTGTGGTTTTCCTTTCACTTACAGCAACAAAGTAGACTTCAAAGTCTTGACTATATTTGGGGGGGGGGGAGTTGTGTGGGGAGGATCAGAGGCGAGGCTGGATAGGGTAAATATCGAGGTTGGCTCACCCCTGGGTACAGACAGGAGTGAGTGGATTGAGCAATTCTGCAGAGGCACACATGCAAGTTCTCAGTAAAAGTTTTACTGCCATGTGATGCCCAGGGGTAAAAGGAAACTCCAGCAGAAGTCAGTGAGCTGAAATAGCCTTACCGTAACCATGATTCTTAGCTAAATGGGATCTTTCTGTCACTACCTCGCAGCTGTAGGACAGGAATACCTCATGCTAGCTTTATTACACTTCACTTGGGTTTAGTGATTCAGTTTAAGGTTTCATGAACTCTCTTCATTGCTGTTGCAGCGTCGCAGGGGACACTGCTTTTCCTCTGATATTGCATGTTTGGAGCTGATCCGTCAGGCTCGGTGTGGGAGGCAGAAAGGAGCTCCTCATCTGCTGCTGATTGGAGTGTGGAGGAGTGGTTCTGCACGCCTGCCTGGGAGGCAAACAGAGGCACCCTGTCTGCTCCCGGGAAACCAGGTCTGGAGGTTTGGACTTGGGCTTCACCTCGCCACTTGAGGGGTGCCATTTCACCCCTGGGGCAGTTCACCAGGGTAGGTTTGTGTTTCCTCCTCTGTTTGCACTGGGAGCATGGGTGGGATTTCAGTGGGGGCTGCCATGTCCTTTGCCTGAGGTGTTTCAATGCTGGAGGAGTGAGAGAGAGAAACATCCTGATTTGGATGTAATCAACTTGGATGTCTGGACCTCCACATGCAATGTGGGAGCACCCTTGACCACTCTTACTGTGAGCATCAAGGACCCCACACTCCTGCCTCTAAGCCAGCAGGAAAGCCCTTCTGTGGTCTGTGGCTCCACTCCCTGGCATCTGCGCATGGCCATGAGGAGGAAGGGTCCTCCATCCTCACCATGGCTTTCACTCCCCACATGTACACCTTGGCACGGGCAACATGCACTGCCTTCATATCAAGGGATTCAAAGTCCTGTTTTGACAAGGGTGCTTAAGAGGGAGCTTGTGTGGAACTACACATTCCCTGATGTGCCACGTGGTGCTTTGAACAGCAAAATTACTTCCATTGTCCCTCCTCTGGCCTCATGACCAAATACTTGTTTCTTCCCTGTGGTCTTAGCAGTTTAGGTCCTCCCAAAACTCGTGGGGCACAGCATTTTAGCCTCCCTACCTGGTTGTGTTGCAGCCCTTCAGCTCTCACAAGCACCCTATCTACAGCAGTGAGGACAGTCAGGATTGTGGTTTGAGCCCAGGGACAAAAGGTACAGATACAAAACCCCCTGCTTCTCATGGAGAGCAGTGAATGAAAGCACATCCTGAAGCATGTTTGATGCCCTTGTACATTTCACAGGAGCTGCTGTCTCGACTATGAGGAAGAAAAAGGTGTCATTAGAGAGTCATCTACAGATGAGAGAGACTTTGGGGAAACAAAACCCAAATCTGTGTTTCCACACAGATGGAAACATCCAAGGAGCAAAGCAGGGGCAACTGGAAGGCGTGCCTGGATATCCAAGCAGCAACAAACAGATGTGTGAGAGATCTGGGGAAGGAAGAACATGCCTGAAACAAATTAGAGAGGAACAAGTTACTGATAGTAACTTAGTTTCAAGAGCAGCGGGGCCAAAACACAGTGATGGTGGAGAGTCACAACAGCAGGAGTAAGAATGAAAGGAAATTCCTGCGGCAAGATGTCATGATGTTGAGAAGCTAAGGGATAAACCAGCAGAGGAAATCAGTGCCTGAATAGACTAAGATGCCTTCAGCCTAAAAATATACAGTGGGGGGCTGTATTATAAGGGCAGGCTATGGAGTCCCAAAGGATGGGGCGGATCAATGTGGATGAGTATCTCAGGGCATGAAGTAAGGGGCCTCAAGAAAAACCCTCAAAATAAAACAAGTTGGGAAGGAAAAGCAAATCCCTAGGGGAGGAACAGCATGGAATGGGATGTGCTGGATGTCACAAGAGTCAGGGCTTCAAAGGCACATTTATAGAGGACAAAACTACACAGTGACCAGACATCGGCTCAGGAGCTGCTTTCCTGCATGGCATCTCTTCTGTGTGACAGAAGTGGCTGAAGCCACTGTTCACCAGTTCAGGTATCGCTGCTTCTGTCTGTAGTTACCTGGGTTACTTTTGCCCATTCCCCTACTGGCATCTCTGGTTCAGGTTTATTTGTACTTCGGCTGCAAGGTGAGAGGCTTCAGAGCCTGCTGTGTTGTTCTGTAACAAATCCCTGCAAGTGATACACAAACCACATCCTAAAACATGGAGAAGCTCCCAGCATCTGAGAGAGAGCCAGAACCCCCTGCAATTATTGCATTTTATTATGACTTAACGTAACATCTCTTTCAAGGGGGAATCACAGTCTTGTATCTTTTTGTTTCTCTACACAACTACCTCTGCTGCAACACCCCTTACCCCCTACTTTTGCTGGGTTTATGGTACCTAATGGCCAAACTGCAAGGATTTTGCTGAATGGTGATATTTTACTCAGTTCTGCTGCCTGTATTCCCAGACAGGTCCCACCTGATGGTCAGTCTCCTCTCTGGAGTA